TAAGTCACTTATAAATATATTATATTATGTCTTCTGTTTCCTTGGTGGACATAGGACCACAACGACACCTCTCCAACGGACGCGGTTTCGGGTGATCCTATTCAGCTCGGCCCATGACGTGCCCGGCTGCTTTTACCTCTACGTCAGTATTTCTGGGCCAAGTCTGTTTTGGTCGACTCGCTTTTCGATTCCCTTGTGGATTCCATTCAAGGGTGTTGTGGACTGTTTAGGGGCCAGAAAGAAAGACACGAAAGACGAAGGTAGGTTGAAAAAATATATTGAAGATATATACAAAACAATAGAGTAAGTAATAGGTAGATTAGCACTGCGTCTGCTACTCCACTTCACACTCTCTCTTTCACACGGTAATTACTCTATCCCCCCCACTACGACGAGATGTGACACAAGGTCTATTTTCACACTCTACCCTATCCGAACCTCGCAGTTTGTATTTATGAGAGAAGGAAGAGTTCATTCTACTGTAGGAGGGTTTACCACAACTAATGGGTAGCCTGGTGAAACTAGAAACAAGTTTGCGGAGTGTGTGGCCGATCCACCCCATTTTAGTTTCTCGATGTCAGTCTCGATTAGGGCTTGTCCCGCATTAATTTCGTCGAGTTAAATGATGTTTCTGTCACAATTAAAGATTACCTTATTTTTATTACTAAGACTATTTGTTATGGTCCGGATTCCTTGTACCACGGTGATGGTCCAAGGTAGAACCAATAAAGAAGAACTCGAACACGGATATGGAATAACACAGATATATTACTAACAGGAATATATACAGAGAAGTAGAAAGTGTTAGTACGAACAATCAGGTTTAGTAGTAATTGTCTGAGAGCGACTCTGTTTCGGACTGCCTCTGACTCAACTGACTGACTCGCTCGCTCTGACTGACTGACAGACTCCCCACGGACATCACTCCAGACTTAAGACCGAACTCTCCGCTTCCTCTTGAGGCGCAGTATTTATTACGTATGGAATAGTCCATTATGTTATTATGGGTAAGGTCCCATAACACAAATGTCACTGTGGCATGGCTGCGTGAAAAGTTTGCAGAGCGTCTTTATCAGCCGCAAAGATGAAGTGGGATGGGCACCTCACTTGTCTGAGCTGAACCCCTCAGATTTCTTCTTCTGGAGATTTCTCAAGGACAACAACATCTACCAGGGCAACCCTCGCACCATTGCTGTATTGAAGGCAGCCATCGCTAAGATTTAAGCGATTACCTAGGAGGGATGTTTACATGTTATGAACAATTTTGCATTCAACAAAGCCTTCATCTAAACAGCGGACACCCAGAGCATGTACTTAAGGGATCCTCTTGAGATTTTTGGTTCCTGTTTGAGACTAAATGGTTGCAGATCCTAAAATGTTATCCTTTTACCTTTTAATAAATGTAATTTCAATTACTCTATCATTTCTGATCCTAGATTTGTGCCCGATCGTTTTGATTAAAAAATTGTGAAACACCTTGTAGATGACAGAGGATGAAATGCGGTTAGTCTGAGGCAAATAAATTCACAAGAATAAGCGTCATGTGTAATTAGATCGAGAATAACGAATAGGCATTCACTTCGAAAGATCGAAATATATAGAGAAAAAAATATTGAACAATAGAGACCTATAGATAGTTCTTCCTGCAATATGGAAGATTGAAACAGTGTCATGTTGTGTGTGTATGTGTGTGTGCGTGTGTGTGTGTGTGTGAGTGAGAGAGAGAGAGAGAGAGAGAGAGAGAGACAACCAGGGAGAAGTCGAATAGATATGTTTAAATAACAACATGGTGACAACAAAATCAATGCCGAGCTGATGTGGGTGTGCGTTGACATAACAACATGCAGAAAGAAGAACAATTTGCATATAATGTCACCTGCACTCCAGCAGATAACAATTGTCGGCTGAAGAGCCATACTTACGTCTCGGGCTAGCAATCAGCGAACAAAAGGAATAATAATAATAATAATGATATATGATAAAAATCAGGTGAGACAGCTCTCACTGGATATAATTGCATGGATCAGACAGCGTCACGTAATTTAACACGAAGTAAAAAGTAGAGAAATTCTGACTGGAAGATTATGAAGAGGCTTCAATCAAATATTCACGCATGCGCCATGTCGATATGCTGTGTTGTCTGCACACAAACGCGATAAACGAGTATAACAAAACATGAAGCTGCGAGCCAGAATTTATGGAACTTTTTACTGTTCCTTCACACATTCATTAAACACACACGAACGTTTAGACTAGAACACATACATACACGCACACACATATATATATATATATATATATATATATATATATATATATGTGTGTGTGTGTGTGTGTAGATATGCATAAAAATAGGAAAGAAAAAATTTCATAGTCTAATAAAAAGTTAACATCAAATCGAAAGATAGAAAAACCCTTTATGAAGTCGTCAAAAAAGAAAAAAATTGTAGTTCAGTGCGACGCATTTAAGTACGAAACAGCTCTTTAGAAAAAAAAATAAAATAAAATAAATAAAAGTAAAATAAATAAATAAAATAAAACAAAATTTTCTAGACACTTAACGACATATTATGGTGCCAAAAGTAATCTTTCGCTGTGACTGACCAGACAATGTGCGCACATGAATGCTATCAATCGCTTTGAAATGGATGTCCTCACCCTACCTCAGCTTGTTCTCTTTCCGAAGTTGACTGATATGTGGATAAAAATTAACCCTTAGGCCCCTTACCAAAATGGTCACCCCAACCGTTTCCATAGTAATTAATTTGGCGAATGAACATGCTTATAAAGATGCGTAAATTTCAAGATTGGTTATTCCTAAATTTTTGCTTGACGATGAAACAGGGCTTGATACGTTAACTCAATTTAATTTTAATAATTATATTGAGGTTTTCGGTTCCCGTTTTTGAAACATGAGAACACTTATGTAGCGAAGGAATCATATTTTTTAAAAATAATTATACTATATATGTATATATATACATATATACATACATATATATATATATATATATATATATATATATATATATATATATATATATATATATGTGTGTGTGTGTGTGTGTTAAAATAATAAGAAAGAACAGTAAGATTTACAATCCGGAGCTCTTAGTAATTATTTCATTAAAAAAAAAAAAAAAAACAGTGCTCGATACAAAAATAGCAGAGCATAATATTATAATTATTTTCTATTTTAACAATTTGGTTCCATCACAATATAGGAATTACCATGTTTCCAAACAGAAACTAAAATTTTAAATTTAATTATAAGATTAAACTTAAAATCCATAACACCGTTTCATTCTCAAGCGATTTTTGGAATAAACTATTATGACATTTACTTCACTTATAAGCACAGACAATCTTAATATTTTAAATTGTTATGGTTACGGAAAAATTCAATCATTTTGATAAGGAGTGATTGGGTTTTAATTTCCCTAGACAACTTTAAATTACTTTCAGAATCAGGTTAAGTAGGGGTGTCTGCTCACAAACAATAACATCCGTTTTTTTGAGTTTTTCAATGATAAAAAGTTTTTGGCATTTTTATTTGGCCGCTTAACTTATATTTTTATATACAAAGATTTCTTAAAGGGGTCGTCTGAATATGAGTAAGTCGTATTTTTAATATTTAAAATCTATTCCTACAAATTTAAACTTTTCTACTTCTAATAACTTTTTCTATATATAATATATATAATAGATATATATATATATATATATATATATATATATATATATATATATATACTGTTCGGAAGTTTTTTTTATAGACCAGGAACATAAATAATGAGCGGGAAGAGGAAAGAATAATCAGGGGGAGATTAGACAGCGATTGACATTGCATTTAATTTTCTGCATATTAAAGTTGGCTGAAAACATGGAGCTGGAAGGGAGTTCCACAAGCGAGAAGTGTAAATAAAGAAACTTTTAGCATAGAATTTGCGGTTACGTCTAATCAACTCAACTGAGAATTGATGTGATCCCGACGCCAGTCTTGTATGGCGCTTATTTTCAAATAGTCGAGGTACGATGACGAAGAGCTCATTTGAATTTCTTATAGAAGAAATGAACGAATCAGAAAGCGACACGTTATTTCATTCCCACTTGCGTCCGAGACCAGTTTTCGCGCCGACATAAATCCCAGGCATTCGAAAATTTTGTTTCTAGCCGCGGAATCTCGAAGTATTAGCGTTATATTCGAACTGCTATTATCTCCATTGGGCCATTGTAGTGACGAAGCAAGAGGAGCTCAGAAAAATATTCAAAAAATAGGAGAGGAAAAAAGAAACGCAACACATCTAATAATTAAACTCACAAGGAAGACAGATTGGGGAGGAAATATGGTATTTATTGTTTATTTTCGATCATTATGAGTCAATCAATCAGCTTTTTCTATCTATCTATCTATCTATCTATCTATCTATCTAAAACTTTTCAACATCTATCTAGAACTTTTCCTTTATCTATCTATCTATCTATCTATCTAAAACTTTTCACCATCTATCTAAAACTTTTCCTTTATCTATCTATCTATCTATCTATCTATCTATCTATCTATCTAAAACTTTTCTTCCTTTATCTATCTATCTATCTATCTATCTATCTATCTATCTATCTATCTAAAACTTTTATTCATCTATCTATCTATCTATCTATCTATCTATCTATCTATCTATCTATCTATCATAGCCTGTTCATATCTATCTATCTATCTATCTATCTATCTATCTATCTAAAACTTTTCTTCGTTTATCTATCTAAAACATTTCCTTATCTATCTATTTATATATTTCTATTTATATATAGATCTATCTAAAACTTTTCCTCATCTATCTAAACCTTTTCAATGTTGCTTTCTCTCTCTCTCTCTCTCTCTCTCTCTCTCTCTCTATATATATATATATATATATATATATATATATATATATATATATATATATATATATCAATCTGTCTAAATGATTTAATGTATATTTTTTATATTTCTCCAAAGAATGTTTCACGTTTGTCTATGCATATCTATCTATCTATCTATCTATCTATCTATCTATCTATCTATCGTTTTTTTATGTTAGCTTCACAGATATCTAGGGTGTATTAAATCTCTTCTTGAATTCTCGTAGGAATGTCAAAACTTCTATCTATCTATCTATCTATCTATCTATCTATCTATCTATCTAAAACTTTTCCTCATCCATCTAAACCTTTTCAATGTTGCTCTCTCTCTCTCTCTACCTATCTATCTATCTATCTATATATATATATATATACATAAACATATATCCATCTGTCTAAATGATTTAATGTATATTTTTATATTTCTCCAAAGAATGTTTCTCTATGCATATCTATCTATCTCTGGTCATATCTATCTATCTATCTATCTATCTATCTATCTATCTATCTATCTATCTATCTTTTTTGTATGTTAGCTTCACAGATATCTAGGGTGAATTAAATCTCTTCTTGTATTCTCGTAGAAATGTCAAACCTTCAAAAGTTTCCAATTTCGTTAATTACCCAGATCCAATAATTTCTTGAGCTATCGCCAGCTGAGCTAAAATTGATGAGGTCAGGAATTAGCCAAGATCTATTTAAAAGCCCCTTAAATCTCGTTTGCACTCAGTGCCCAGCCCAATATGTTGTCACCCCACTCCCCATGTGCACACGTATCAATAAATATCAGCGTCAATCGAGACGATCAGATCCTGTAATTGTTTTAACTCGAAAGATGTCCATTTTAGATTTTATCATGGCGACTTTTATATCAATCACTTTAAAGTTAGTGACGGCTTTCATTGGCGGCCACCATCTTAACAAGATAAGATACGCAGATGACACAGCACTGATAGAAGACACGGAAAAGACATTACAAAGCTTCCTACAGAAGGTAGAGACGGAGAGTGAGAAGAAAGGACTAAGCATAAACTACAAGAAGACAGAATTCATTGTCATCAGTAAAAGGATGAGCCCAAAATGCGATTTGAAAGACGGGAACACTAGAATCAAGCAGACGCAGGAAGAGGCAGCTAAAATTTCTGGGACACATAATTCTCTTTCCTTTCTTCTTTCCTTCTCTTTCCTTTTACAACTCCGGCTATAAGATGTAGTCGCGCGTGGTAAAAAAAGTGTTCCCTACTGGAGCACATTCACTTTCAATGTATTTAGTTTTCTCTTGTGTACTCTTTGTACTCTTTCACACGCGTATCTATCACGGAGGCCTACACAACCTTCATACACGCAAACACACATTCTCTAGTTTAAATGTTTTCTATGTAATTAGTCTTTAAATGTCTCTCTTCTTTTATTGTCATTGCATATACGTATGTTAATAATACACACATTGTCGTTTGTTTTATATATTGGTTGACGTTATTCATTTATTACTCAGTCTCGCATTCATGTCCGCTCTAGAATCAAGCAAATGCGGAAGTTTAAATATCTGGGAAGCGTCTTGACAGAGGACGGTAAGTGTGACACTGAGATCCGTAGACGTATTGGAATGGTCAAGGACACATTCCAAAAGCTGGGCAGAGTATTGCAAGACAGGAGGATTTCTTTGGTAACAAAGAAAAGAATACTGAGC